AGATTTATAAGTCATGATGCTTTTGGGCAAAATCATGGGGCTTCGGACATGGTTACACACGTTAAACATGAACCTGGAATGGAGAACCCTAGCGAGTCTATCCACTCTCAGACTCCTGAGCAATTCCAGCTTTCTCAGTTTCAGAATCAATATCAGAACAATGCAGATGACCGTCATGCAGGTTCTCAGATTCTCCCTGTCACAAGTCAGAGTGATATGTGCACATCAGTTCCTCAAAATAGCCAACAAACCCAGCAGATGTTGCACCCGCAGAATATGGGCTCAGACTCGATTAACAGTTTTAGCAACCTCTCTGTTGGAGTGAGATCAGAATCTGGTCTGCGTGGTCAGTGGCAAACTCAGTCTCAGGAACATGCTCAAATGTCTAATAGTATGTCAAACGAACGGCACATTCAGGAGGATTTCCGTCAAAGAATGTCAGGAACGGATGAAGCTCAACCCAATAATATGTCTGGAGGGTCTATTATAGGTCAAAATCATGTCACCACTACATCAGAATCCCCTAATCCCCAAAATCCTATCGGCACCACTTGTAGGTATGGAAACGGAAACCAAGATCCAAGATTCAGAAATCAGCAGAAATGGCTCCTGTTTCTACGCCATGCTCGTCACTGCAAAGCGCCTGAAGGGAAGTGTCCCGACCGGAATTGTGTTACTGTTCAGAAGCTCTGGAAACACATGGACAGTTGTACTGTACCTCAGTGTTCATTTCCTCGTTGCCGCCCCACAAAGACATTGATTACTCATCATCGAAATTGTAAGGAATCTAACTGCCCTGTCTGTATTCCTGTGAAGGCCTACTTACAGAACCAGGCAAATATACGGTCCCTAGCCCGTCTAAAAAATGAAAGCAGTGCAACGAGGTCAGTGAATGGAGCAGGAATATCAAATGATGCAGTACAGACCTCGGCTGGAGCAATATCTTGTGCTTCGCCTGGTGCTGATATTTCAGATCATTTGCAACCTTCATTAAAACGGTTGAAGGTGGAGCAGTCTTCTCAACCTGTGGACGTGGAGACAGAAAGTTGTAAAAGCTCAGTTGTTTCCATAACAGAAGCACAATCATCTCAGTACGCTGAAAGAAAAGATTTTAAGCATAGTGATGTACGCGCACCTTCGAAGTATTTTGAAGTGAAGGCTGAGGTTTCTGAAGTTTCTGTCCAGGCACAACCAGGTTTCAAAGAGACAAAAATTGGAATTGTCGAAAATATTCCCAAGCAAAGGCCTATCAGTGAACCTGTTAAACAAGATTTTTCGGATGCCTCACCTCGGCAAGAGAATACCAAAATGGAGAAAGAAACTGAGCCACTCAAGAAAGAAAATCTGGCAGAGTCTTCTGAAACTACATCAAAATCTGGAAAGCCAGAGATAAAGGGTGTTTCATTAACTGAATTGTTCACTCCTGAACAAGTGAGAGAACACATCCGTGGTCTCCGTCAGTGGGTTGGCCAGGTTTGTGATTTTCTTAACTTATGATGTTTACATAATCTTTTTATATGCTATTTGTTTGATTAGTTTTCCCTTCTTATATGTATTAGAGGATTCGTATTTATCTGAAAAGATATTTGATTGATGATGAATCTGTTTCTCTTCATGTGCTTGCAGAGTAAAGCCAAAGCAGAAAAAAATCAGGCAATGGAGCATTCAATGAGTGAGAATTCCTGCCAACTATGTGCAGTGGAGAAGCTTACCTTTGAGCCACCACCTATATATTGTACCCCTTGTGGTGCCCGCATCAAGAGAAATGCTATGTATTACACCGTGGGAGCTGGTGACACTCGTCATTATTTTTGTATTCCATGTTATAATGAATCCCGTGGGGATTCTATACTCGCTGAAGGGACATCTATACCTAAGGCAAGACTTGAGAAAAAGAAAAATGATGAAGAGACTGAAGAATGGGTAAAGCACTATCCACTCTGTAGACTTGTTTTGTGTTTGTCTCCCGTTTTTGTATTGTTTTTTGAGTACTTGCTATAATCTGTTTCTATCTATGATTTTTTTGCAGTGGGTCCAATGTGATAAATGTGAGGCCTGGCAGCATCAAATATGTGCTTTATTTAATGGGCGAAGGAATGACGGAGGGCAAGCTGAGTATACCTGCCCGTATTGCTTTATAGCAGAAGTGGAGCAAAGTAAGAGGATGCCCTTACCTCAGAGTGCTGTTCTTGGAGCTAAAGACCTACCGAGGACAATTCTTAGTGACCATATAGAGCAGCGGTTGTTTAAGAGGCTGAAGCAGGAAAGAACAGAGAGAGCCAGGGTTCAAGGGAAAAGTTTTGATGAGGTAATCTAGTGTTGGTGTTTGTTAAGGTGTTATGTCTTACATGTGCTTTCACATCTGTGAGCTTGTTTTTTTCTCTCTATTTGTTTGCTATAGTGATTCTTTGTTAGAAACAGTAGATTGAAGCTGACATTTTTTTTTTCTTTGGATTGATACTGACAGATTCCTACAGCTGAGTCCCTTGTGATTAGAGTTGTTTCATCTGTTGACAAGAAGCTGGAAGTCAAACCTAGATTTCTTGATATATTTCGGGAGGATAATTACCCGACAGAATTTGCATACAAGTCCAAGGTAAGAATGATCAAGACGCGTTGTTGCTGTATTGTCTGCATATATGCATTATTTTATCTCTGGGTTCCTCTCTTGAATCTCTCACTCTCCTCGCCATTTTATTTTTCCAGGTAGTTCTGTTGTTCCAAAAGATTGAAGGTGTAGAAGTATGCTTATTTGGGATGTACGTTCAAGAATTCGGTTCTGAATGTGCGTTTCCTAATCAACGCCGGGTTTATCTCTCGTATTTGGACTCTGTTAAGTACTTCAGACCTGAGGTTAGATCGTATAACGGGGAGGCTCTGCGCACTTTCGTTTACCATGAAATTTTGGTAAGTCCTGGTCTTCTCAAACCTTGGTTAATAACCTATATTTGGAGGATTTAATGGTGTAATTTGCTCCTGTTTTTAGATTGGTTACCTTGAATACTGCAAGTTGCGTGGTTTCACGAGCTGCTACATATGGGCTTGTCCACCACTGAAGGGCGAGGACTATATCTTATATTGTCATCCGGAGATTCAGAAGACGCCAAAATCTGATAAATTACGAGAGTGGTCAGTTTAGTTACCTTTTTGGAATCGCCCTGGGAAGTTTTCGTATGAAAAACCATTTACATTATCCAATTTGCTCATTTTGTTCTTCTCAGGTACTTAGCAATGTTGAAAAAAGCTTCAAAGGAGGGCATTGTTGCAGAAACTATAAATCTCTATGACCATTTTTTTATGCAAACTGGTGAATGTAGAGCTAAAGTCACAGCAGCGAGGCTCCCGTATTTTGATGGTGACTACTGGCCAGGTGCAGCGGAGGATCTTATATACCAAATGAGTCAAGAAGAAGATGGCAGAAAGGGCAATAAGAAAGGAATGCTTAAGAAAACAATTACAAAAAGGGCTCTAAAAGCTTCTGGGCAGACTGATCTATCTGGGAATGCATCCAAGGATCTGCTGCTAATGCATAAAGTAGTCTTTCTTTCTATGCATATTGCTACCTATTGGTTATTCTTTCTTTCTCATACGAAAAAAGGTTCTTGTTACTTATATTCACCTGTTTCCAGCTTGGTGAGACCATTCACCCAATGAAGGAAGACTTCATCATGGTCCACTTGCAGCCTTCTTGCACGCATTGCTGTATGCTGATGGTATCTGGAAATCGTTGGGTCTGTAGCCAGTGCAAACACTTCCAGATTTGTGATAAGTAAGAACTCTTCTTTTCTCTTCTTTGCTCTTTAATTTTATAATCCCTTCTCTGTTGTATCGTATATAAGATTATGTAAAAATCCCGACCGATGCATCTCTTGGATGGTCTGTGTGTCTTTATTACTGATGAAGTTCTTTGCAATCTAAAATATTATTCTGCCTTTCAGGTGTTACGAGGCTGAACAGAGGCGTGAAGACAGGGAGAGGCATCCTGTTAATTTTAAGGATAAACATGCGCTGTATCCTGTGAGTTGCATTTGCTTGTTGAGGATATTGTCCTTTAGCTTTCTCCGTGATCAGTTTTATTAATTTAATGGTTTACCACATGTTTGTGGCAGGTTGAGATTACGGATATTCCCGCAGATACGAGGGACAAAGATGAGATACTAGAAAGCGAGTTTTTCGACACTAGGCAAGCGTTTCTGAGTCTTTGTCAAGGGAACCATTACCAGTATGACACGTTGAGGCGGGCAAAACATTCGTCGATGATGGTCCTTTATCATCTGCATAACCCAACTGCTCCTGCCTTTGTCACAACCTGCAATGCATGTCACCTTGACATTGAAACCGGTCAAGGCTGGCGCTGTGAAGTATGTCCAGACTACGATGTGTGCAATTCCTGTTACTGTAGAGAAGGTGGAGTTAATCATCCTCACAAGTTGACTAATCATCCATCTCTAGCTGATCAAAATGCTCAGAACAAAGAAGCAAGGCAATTGCGAGTTTTGCAGGTAGTTTGCTATTTTCAAAGCTGGTGTTGCTTTTTTCTTGATCCTGAAATTTCTATGCAAAGTGGTAACATTCTTTTTTCTTCTCGTTCTTTTGGAAATGCAGCTTAGGAAAATGCTCGATCTTCTGGTACATGCTTCACAATGTCGATCCGCAAATTGTCAATATCCGAATTGCCGGAAAGTGAAAGGGCTATTCCGACATGGCATACAATGCAAAGTTCGCGCTTCAGGAGGTTGTGTTCTATGCAAGAAAATGTGGTATCTCTTGCAACTCCACGCTCGGGCCTGCAAGGAATCTGAGTGCCACGTACCTCGTTGCAGGTAAACGAGACGACATGATGAATCATGAATTACATCAACTTTCTTTCATTTCTAAACATGAAACACTTTTAATCCATGCATTGATGAAACATTGTGAATCTTTTCTCTATTCAGGGACCTCAAGGACCATCTGAGAAGATTACAGCAGCAATCAGATTCACGACGTAGAGCAGCAGTAATGGAAATGATGAGACAAAGAGCTGCAGAAGTCGCTGGGAGCTCAAGTTAATCAAAACTTGTACATGTGAAAAGATGAAACCCAAAGTTGCAAAAATCTTCATCCTTTTCCTCAAAGGTAACAACGAGATACATAAGAGAGAGCTTAAAATCTTCGTACGCCTTTTGGAAGAGAGTAGAAGAAGAGGCAGTTAGAATGGTGAATTTAGCTTAGATTCAGTATTTGACTTGACTTTCAGAAGATTTATCAGTTTGTTATGTGTC